CCCTAGGGACAAGCCTAATACACGGTTGGGTCTTTGCGCTCCTTCAAAACTATTGAAAAAAAATCTTTTCTTTTAGTGAGAAGGCACTCTCTGCACTTGAAAATGGGCGAAAGTGGAGAGGGAGGGAGACATGAAATTAGGGTTTTTTTTCGAAGTGTCTATATAGGTCATAGTTCATTGGTTCCAGACCAGCATCTTTGCTATATTTCTTAACACTTTTTTGAAGAATAGTAATGCAGTTTTTGGGCCATTACTCCGAGGGAGTACCATGTGCTCACAATTTACTTCAATGTACCTTACTGTATTTTGAGTAGTGTCAGTAGGTTTTGTGAGTAAGTTGCCAGTTTAATTTTAAAGGGTCGTTCAAGAGGCACCCCCCCACAACCCACAAATATGTTTTTTTAGAATGGGGACCTCCTCTTGCCTTAGGTTGAATGCAATTTGAATCATTTGACAATTACTAGTATGATGAGGGAAATACATAATACAGCAAGACATCAGAAACAAACAAAGCAGAGTATAATTGAAAATGCAAGTTTGGAAAAAAATATTTTTTTAAACTAGCTGGTCCATTGGACTTGCTACTTATATGTTGCTTGAGCTGGTCTGAAAGTGTAGCAAATGCTTCCTAGTTCATCACTCATTTGTTGTTACAAAACTGACTCCAGCTTCCAATGTTTGGGCATTTTAAGTAGTAATATCTTGGAAGACTTGGGTTCAATATATTGGTCTTGTTTATGGCTTGAAATGTGGATTGGTCCATAAATATAGTGCTCAAAATCAGTCTAATACATTTGACTTGACAGCAAAGCTTTGTGCTTTATTTATCATCTTTTGGGTCAAACAAATTGCAAATCCTTTGTTTTATATGCCTCATGATAGTTTATGATTTTGGAAAATCTTATAGTTCTTCATAATCCTGACATATGAAATCCATGAAAGGAATGCAACACTACTCCTGAGCGTAAAGCCTGAAATATCTTTTAGCTCAACAAGACTTCTGATCTTGTAATGTCTACCTTACACTTTAAAACAGATATTCAAGTACTTTTATGGTTTCTTCTTTTGATAAGGACTTTTATGGTTTCGTTGACACATTATTTTATTGAATAAGTGCTTTCTGAAAAATTGATTAGCTCATCTGATACTTTTTGATGATACCGCAATCTCAAAATTTTCTTTTCCCTCTCTCTTTCTCTCTCATGAAAACGTTGCAGAAAAGGAAAATCTTTGCCTCTATGGATTTCCAAGCGAGCAATGGGAAGTCAATTTGCCAGCTGAGGAGGTGCCTCCTGAGCTTCCAGAGCCAGCACTGGGTATAAACTTTGCCAGAGATGGGATGCAAGAAAAGGACTGGTTGGCTCTAGTTGCTGTTCACAGTGATGCATGGCTACTCTCTGTTGCCTTTTACTTTGGTGCCAGATTTGGCTTTGACAAAGCTGATAGGTACACTTGATTTTTGACAGACTATACAAAAACAGTTGCATTGCCTTTTGCCTTCCCTTTTTGTGTTTATCCGATCTTCCTTTGCTGAATTTTTTTTGCGGTATCTTTTATGTTTGATTTTATTGTGGACATATAGCCTACTAGAAGTTGCTTATTCTGTTAAGTAACTAAACAGTGTCACTCTGTAAGGCCATTGTATGTGAATGGTCCCAAGCGATGCATGTGCATGGTCATGAATGCAGAAGAGCCGTTACCTACTCATTTTACTAAATTGAAAAGTTTCTTGTTTTTGCTAAATGTTTGTGGTATTTGTGGTTCAGGAAACGCCTGTTCAATATGATAAATGATCTGCCAACAATATATGAGGTTGTCACTGGAGCTGCCAAGAAGCAAGTAAAGGAGAGATCATCAGTCTCTAACCATAGCAGCACCAAATCCAAGTCAAACTCTAAAGTGGTACGACACTACCACTCTTCAACCCTCTCCCAAATAAAAATGCTGATTCTTTGATAACCCGTTGCTAGCTATACAGTATTCATAACAAAGATAGCAGTGGATAGTTTCTGAAATAATCCTTGGACTCTTGGAACGTAGAACATTAAATAGTAAACTTGAAAGTTAAGGTTGTGGCCTGAAGGTACTTACCCTAAATAAGAAAAAAAGATTTGTGTGTATGTGTGTGTGTGTGTGGGGGGGGGGGGGGGGTTAAAGGTATTGATCAAGAGATCAGCAACAGGAGTTGGGATTTGACCCACAAATATTATGAAACAACTATTCCAACCCATCTCTATTTGCTTGTATGTTTGTGAATTCCTTACGTCGGCATTAGGGACTTGTATTGTCTGTGATGACTGATAACTCATATGCATAGTAAGCATTGCAAGGAGAACCATTATAGTGACTAGAACAATTTTGTCATAACAGATAATTAACATGAATGAAATGAACGAGACAAGAATTTGTGCATTTTTCTCCTATAGTGTATTGGTGAAGTGGGGTCAAATAGAGCTCACCCCAACTAGTGTGAGATTGATGTTGGTTGATAAGTGAATTCAGAAAAAACAGAACTGAATTTGTGAATTTTGTATTCAATGCAATTATCCCAATGGGACAAATCTAGAAAAAAATCCATTGGAGTAAAAGAAGTTATAATACCTGTTATATTATGGATACAGGTGCACATATTTGATACATTTATGATTTATGAATCTAAAAATTGAATTTGTCATAACCTAAATCCTAGATCTTGGAGTATATGAGTAGTAGTACAAGTACGCTGTTGAGGTACGACTATTAAACTGTATTATAACTCACCCTTGGTGACTTGACCAAAATTGGGGTGCATCCATCACTCACACCCAAATTGTCTTGGATTGACACGAGTGCAACGGGTATTTTGAAGGATTTGCTTACCATGTGGTAACCAGCTATACATTATGTAGTCCCGGAATTCTACACAAGCCTCTCAAGTTGATAAAACATTGATTTATCTTTCTATTTGAAGTATGGAGGCTTATTTGATGTACTACATCTAGTATCAAAAGGGCTTCTAGGTTTATATGTTGCTATGTGAGTTGTGACTTGTGGGAGTTAGTTGGGCTTCAGGTTTTGGTGATGTAGTAGCAGTAAGTGAATAATGAAGTTATTTTGAGTTGTTATGAACTAATGGAGTGACATTTCTCGGTGTATGCTTATATGCCCGTTGTTTGAAGAGGTTAGAGGCAACGCGGAAATTTTCAACAGTTGAGCTGTTTGATACTGACCTATAGTTATTGATTCTAATGTCTTGTTTTCACAATTGTACTTAGCATTTGACCATTTCATGTTGCTGAATCTTCACAACTGAATTTGGTCTTCATTAATTTTTGGGTCAAGGTGCTTGTAAATTGAGGTTTGTGCCTACTTTCAGTTTGCTTTATATATTCTGTAAGTTCACTACTTTCTTATAGTCCTCATTTTTTGTTGCCATCACTTCTTCAATGTATGCATCAGGGTTTTGTTTATCTTATTTGAAATTAGACCATGTCTCCTGCCATACATTTTCCAGATTATCATAGAGAAATCTTTAAAAGCAATTCCATGATTTGAGTGTGTTTCCTTATGCATGGTGTGAAACTTAACAATTAGGTGTATGAAAATAGTTTCATGTTGAAATCCAGGGTAAATACTCAAAGGTCGAAGTAAAAGATGAGGATGATGGATTAGATGAAGAGGAGGAAGAGCATGGCGATACCCTGTGTGGGGCATGTGGTGAGAACTATGCTTCAGATGAATTCTGGATTTGTTGTGACATATGCGAAAGGTGGTTCCATGGTAAGTGCGTGAAGATCACACCTGCGAAGGCTGAGCATATAAAGCAGTACAAATGCCCAACATGCAGCAACAAGAGGCCACGCCCTTGACATCCTGTTGAATTTGCTAAAGTTCCACCCTTGTATTTGTCTCATGTAGGACACTGCCATCTAGATCAGCAGGGCATGTTCATTCAAAGTTCTCGTCCTTACTCTGTTTTTCTGGATAATCTACTAGTTAAAATTGCGGAGGTGCCCCTCTGTTTGACTTTAAATTTGGACGTATAGGGATCTTGTAGGAAAGCATCTTCCTGTGATATATTCTAACTTGTAAAACTTAGCTGGAGTGTGGTTTCGCAGGTATAGTTTAATTGAAGCATCTGCAGCCTGATGTTTAATTGAAAATTGTGTTAAATCTTGCTGGTGTCAATCAATTGAATGATTCTATGAGCGTATGCTCTGCTTTTGTGGTTGCGGCTTGTGATCTAATTGACAAGGCATATAATAGGCAAAACATAAGGAATAACGAATTACAAGCTCGATGCTTGAAACTGGAGGTCAATGAGTTCAGTGTGGGAAATTAAAGGTGCTTGTGTTCGGTCCTTAGCAGCTTTTTATTTTGAAAAACAGGCATCTTTCTGTAATCTGTATCTGCTAACTTCTCTGTTGGGTATCACTACTTATTTAGATCCCTGAGACTTTTTATGTATGCAGCAAGCCAACAACTTCCTTCAAAGTTGCCATTTAAAGGTTGTGTAATAAGTACCCCTAACCCATTTATGCTACCTGTGTTGACCCACTTCGATTTCCCTATTATCTTAATCATGTCTTACACAACACCAGAAGAACCTCTTGAGCATCTTTTGTTTCCTAGTATGAGTTTTTAGTTCTGTTTCTTTTTTGCCTTACTCAAAAACACCCTTTCGCCAAACTTAATAAGACATTTTATTGTAGTTTTAGTGGCTGGAGAGTCTCAGATGAAAAGCTCAAAACAAATTGGTATTTCCTTAAAACAAAGATTTAGATTAAATTCAGATCAACCAGAAAAGTTAAGTAATAGGAAATTTTGCCATCTAGAGGGAGGGAAGGAGATGGCTCTTGACATAGAGTAAAGCATCAACATTTAATATCCAAAAAAGGCTACGCTTCATTTTGCAGCCCCTTGACATATGGCCCTTCCTCGGATCCTGCGTGAATGCGGAATGCTTTGTGCACCGAGGTGCCCTTTTTAGGAACAAATTTTCTGTTATTGCAACAAACACAAGGCGTCACAAGAGTGTACATTTTTTTCATTAAGTTATGAAGAGGAAAACAATGTTTCCCATGACAACTACAGCAACGATTGCCAAACATTGTACAAATAAAGCACATTTACAGAAGAGAATACTTCAAGAACAGAAGAGCACATCCCTTGACATGACATTGACATTGCACAAAAATATACTGGTTCAGCATGTATTGCCCAGTTTTTTCACCATAATTTGGTGGCTGCTTCCAAAATTTCATTGCCCTAGTGAATCACCCAGTTTGAACCACTACTTCAATCGGATTGTTTCATTCGGCAATATAACATTTGGATTTCGGATATGTGGATTTAGTGCTGCTATTTCCTTCCATTTAGCGCCTGTACCATGAACCCTAGAAGATATACTCCATAGTGTATCACCAGGCTGCACTGTAGTTGTTGCTGATGAAGCAGCTGCCTTTGAAGATTTGTTAGCAGCCTTTGACTTCATTAATGGATGTTTATTTTTCTTTCCCATTCCATTAGCAAGCAACCAACGAGAGCCAGACTGTTCTTGAGTTGTGGAACCCCATAATTTCTTTTTACCTTGATCTGTCTTCAAACCTGCAACATGCACTTCGGTTATTTTGTACTGTGGTATTTGTTCAACCTCGGTGGTGATATTCTCTTCTTTGATGTCCACATTCAGGTCCTTCTTAGGAGGCTCAGATTCATTATCATCATCACCTTCATAGTTGTTTCTAACTTCAGAAACTGTGCTGTATATCTTAGGTTTAGGTGGTACAAACACTCTCTCTACCTGAACAAGTGCAAGCATAGGTGTACCAACCGGCTCATAATTCCGTAAAGGATCACGGAGCTGCACCATTAGTGCCACAGTAAAGTTGTTTCCCAACAAACCACACTTCTTACCTTTTCCACGTCTCTTCTCTCCCTTCGACCTGCCCCGAAACATGTCTGTGCTGATAGCATGATGAGCTGCTAGCAGTTTAGAGGTTCGCTCGCTAATCTCATCTTCATCATATATTTCTCCCGAGTCCAACCTCATCCATTCATCAAGTGTTAGAGATAAGCCCATAAGCCCATCAACTTCATCACCATTGTCTTTAATGTCCAGAAGCTGCAATCCACCCGCCCCTTCCAAACCTACAGCTCCACCAAAATTGATCTTTTGTCCCTCAAAGGCTGAAAACTCACCGATGGATTGAGTGCTGATGTTTGAAGGTGCATCCTCATCTGACATGCCCGACTGTATTCTCAAACCCTCAATTGAAAGGGCTTCAATTTTATCCATTGCCAAAGGAGCAAGGTCTTCTAAGGATACATATTCAGCGTCCATGTGAGTCCTAGTAGAACTTGATTCCAACTTACTTGGCATTGGTCCGTGTGATTTTCCCTTTTTACTCCGACCACTGGCCATGTTTTGCCCAAACTCAAATTCATGATGCAATAGATCTTGTCTGCAAAACAATTTCAAACGAGATATAAGTAGGTGCATGTATATTTGCGGTACGCTCACTGCAATCCAACACTACAAAAAATAATGTGAACAAAACGACAAACCTTTCAGGTCCTTCTAAGCTCGGTGCATTTCCCCAGGCTATTTGTTCCATTGTCTTACCAGTTATATCTTCCAAAGGCATTAATTTACTTGCCTGCATGGAGAGCTTTTCCATTCCAATGGAGGCCAAATGCTGCAGTATGTCCATTATACCAGAACCCATTTCCGCAGGCACCACCACTGGACTGGATACCTGCATAATTAAATTCCCTCCACCCTTAGCATTCTTGAAAACTGCAGGATTCATTGACTTCAAAAATCCTCCATTTTCAGTCTGTACCAAGGGTCCTAAGCCTTCTCCAAGAGGAGGCAATTGGTAAGGGTCTTCAGGAGGCATATGAATTGGGCTGCCAAAACCACTTGAAGAATATTGAAATGACTTCTCGTTCAAGCCCCATTCACGCATCAAAGCCTCCGTCTCTAAGTCCTCCAATGTGGAAGCCCTTGTTTTGTTACTCATTGCCTCAATTTCTATCCTGGGCATCTCTTCATATGACAGTTCGGCAGATGAATAACCAAATTCCTCGGAGATGCTTGTCCATTGAGATCCACTTGGAGCATCAGAAGCAAATTCTTCAATGCCCATATCAAGGTTAAACAAAGAACAGCCATTAGCCAGAGTGTCCTTCTCAAATTGCCTCAATAATCGTTCTCTTGGGGAATCAGGCTCGCTCTCGGAACTTGGGCCAAATGGACTATGCTCAATCCCTAGCATATCCAGGAAATCACTAGCCACGGATTCAGTAACGTAATCCATGCTGAGGGATTTTCCCTTCCTAAGCTCTTTATAATTCGCTTTAGCGTCCAAGTAACTATCATGATTTATAACTTCATTGTCATGTTCTTGAGAATCTAATCCCTCGTTTGCTAAGTCAGAGACATTGTTTAATGCAGACTCCAATTCTTTCATAATTGATTCTTCTGTCTCAAAATTGCTTGCACTCACCGGAAGTAGTTCATTTGCACTGTCAAGACCCTTGTCCAATAGTTCAGGTTGTGCCTCCTCTTCAATGGGCATCTTCACAGTACTATCAGGTACAAGCCTCTCCAACACAGGGTAATCAATAGTTTTCACAGAATCAGCTTCTTTTTGCTCCAATTCCTTCAAGGGCAGTTCTATGCCTTGCTCAATCACAGAAAACTCACACTCGTTTTCAACACTTCCCTTCCCAGGTTCTGATAGCAAGGATAGTTCTCGCTTGAGGTTCTCAACAGTATTAGAGGAAACATCAATCTCTGAAACTTCAAGCTTCTCTTCCTTGAGCTTCTGGTACAGAACTTCTACTGATTTGGAGAGGTCAGAACTACGCATTGGTAAAACCTCATGAAGATCTTTTACTTCTTCTGCGTACTGCTGCGAAGTAGAAGACCGAGGAGGAAGGCTTCCAGCTCGCCTTATTATGCTCAGCTCATCACTTTGCTCAGCTTGTGCAAGAAGTTTTGTAGCACTTGAACTGCTCTGCCTCAAGTTTTGAACGTCCCTATGGCTCGGAAGCATGGCAGAAGTGTTCCCATTCCCAACTATGTGATACCCAAAACTAACATTCATGGTTGCACCTTTAGCCTTACCTGACAACCGGTAACTAGTTGTCCACTTACCCGAGCTCTTCTCATCCTCCAATTCTTCTAATGTAAGAGGAAGCAACCTAGTAAGGTCAACCCGATGCTTCCCCAAGTCAAGTTCAGGAGTGCCATAAACTGCAGCATACAACAAGCAATGTTTTGCCTCATACTTTGCTGAATGATGGGGACCATTCCTACTGCCATATATAGAACACGTATAATTCAACTGTTCCTCAAACTCAGCTATACCTTCACAAACCATAACCGGACATGTCATCAACTCACCATCTCGCCTCCTCCAATGGACGACAAGGCTAAGGTCATCAAAAAATGGCAGCAGCCCTTCAATGCAATGGACTTGAAGCGAAAAACAGCAATTGAACCTTTGGTTTTTAACATGAGTTAAGGACTTTAAGCTCTTCCAACTCCATATGGACTTCTTATTACTATCCTTGTCTAACAAATCTCTACCATTATTGTCTTTGCTCTTCGATTTGGGGTCGGGTAAACGGGCTTTCCCAACAGACTTAGAACGACTACTAGCTGTAGACATCAAAATCCGAGGTTGGGTTTTATCCAAATATAGGGCTTTACTTATAGCTTCAATATCATTCAACAACTTCCCATTTCCAGTCTTCTCACCAATTTTCTTCCTAGAATCCATTCTTGATAACATTCTTCTCCAAAAAAAAACTACAAAACTAACAAAATTTAAACATTACACAAAATCCAAAATAAAATCTTGAGAACACAACTTATAATTTGCTAATAAAATGTAATAAATAAAAAAATAAAAAACAAATAGCTCCATGCTTAAGCAAGATTAGCCTTTTTCAGGGGTTTAGCTGAAAAAAAATATATTTAGGCAGATTTTTTTTTTTTTTAAAAACAATAGAGCCCAGGTCAGTTTATCAGGTTTAATTGCCTCTGAATCAAGATCTTGGACTCTAGATTCATTTTTCATGTATAAATTAAAATTAGAAAAAAAAATCAAAGTAGAAAAAACTTGGTCAAAGAAATTGAGTAAGAAGAAAAAGACTGAAATTCTTACAAGAGGAGTAAGCGATGTTTACGGAGAGTCTTTCACACATTGATTGTCAAGAGAACTTCATGTTTCTCTCTCTAATCTTCTCTCTCTATGTTTTGGCGTGACGATGTTTCATTCGAAGTTTCAAATTATAAATTATAGAAAGTGGAGAGTATTTGTCACACTCACTCCTCTTCTTCTTATATTTGCACTACGTATACTATGTTTTGGCTATTTTCAATTTAGTCCCTTATGTTATACTGTTGCTCAAATTGCCGGGCTTTCATTTTACACCCGCATTATAGTCCTTGTTTTTTTTTTTTTTTGGGGGGGGGTGGGGGGGAGTTGGGGGGGGGGGGGGGGGTTGTTAAATGTCCTTGGTTTGCTAAGCTGCGTCATACACTTTTATTTTTATAAAATTAATTGCTATTGTATAGTTTATGATATGTAGAATAATCTTTTTATAAGAGCTATCCTAATAGAAGACACTTTAAAATCAATTTTTAAATTTTAACGCAATCAAATTATAAGTAAGTTCTTCTCTATTTTGAGAGATAAAAAAGCATCTTCCCTTTTTCACCTTTAAATATTTTTGGTTTTTCTCCGAATCTTTTTCTTTATCAAATCATAAAGCCTTCTTTGTGTCGCCTTCAATATGACATATCACTATTTTGTATAAGAGATTGACCTTACTTTATCTAAATTATCTTATGGTGGAAATTGTGAAGAAATCAAGAGAGAAAAGTGACAATGTACTTCATATAAATTTTAAATGAGTAATGTTACTTCTAACTATGATGACTGAATATTCAACATTTTCATGATGTAATCATTATATGTATGCAGGCTCTATATTTGCAAGATGTTTTATTACCCCAAATCACTAGTTGTTTCTGCCTCATAACAAAGAGCATGTAAATGGTAAGGATAATACATCATTATCTCTATAAAGTTGTCCTACTTTACCAGTTGAATACTCATACTTTTGTGAAGTCTAATGACCCCTTTTAACATCTTCAAACTAGTATTATTACCCCCTTCTGATCCCGGCCACGTGCCAGGGAGAGTGTATATAAAAGAGTGAAGGGATAAAAAAAGTAAAAATTTAATTTTTGCAAGATTTTTCATTAAATGTATTTTTTACTTTTCTTTCTTTTGTGTTTTATTTTTCGTCATCGTTTTCCTTTTTCTTTCTTCTCTTCTTTCTTTTTAAATAGGTCTTCCTCCACCACTTCGCAACCTCTATCTCCAACAAACCCACCAATTTTTTTTTTTAAAAGAAAGTTACACTCCACATATTCAACCATTTAATCACACCCATCACTACTTTGATTGCCACCATCTCCACCATATAAGTTTCAAGCAAAAAAATACTTAAGAAGCTTCAACAAAAAAAAAACGAGTTAATAGAAATCCCACGATTCTATTTCTAAAGAAACTAGTCGTTAAAGAAAGACAAAGTTGTCGGAACTCTGGTTCAAAATCTTGTCGGAATATAGGTGAAATTGAAAGCTTTCTCTAATTGGGATTTTCTTTTCTCTGATGAAATGAATTAGCAGTGAGACTAGCCGTGGAATTCCCTATCTCCTTCATAAACTGATTTCATTTGTTAATTGGAGAATCTAGGAATGAAATATTCCTTTTCCATCGTGATATGGATTTATCGAATGAGTTCAATATTTCCTTTATTCTTTTAGTTGAACTTATTTTTTTATTAATTTAAGGCAGAATAGCCTAAATGACACTTATATTTGTGCCACTTTGTCATCCCGGTCCCAAACTTAATGAAGTTTCATCTAGACACCTCTACTCGTTCAAACGTAATATTTTAAACCCTTCTGACTGTGTGTGTTCCTCAATCGTCTTACTGTATTATCCACGTCATATAAAAATATTTCACGTCATTATTTTTATTCACAAAAACTATTTTTGGAAAAGAAAAAGTTGAATCCTAAAGTTTTCTCTCACAAATACCTTTATGCCTTTCTATCTTTCTAAATCAGCCATTAGCAGGGACTGGGTTTCTTGATTCAAGAAATGCAAGTGGGAAGTTGCAATTTGAGAGGATTGAGGGTATCAAACCCAGATAACAAGTTCTGTATTTGGTGGGTGGATGTGAAAAAATAGTTTTCTTTTTTTTTGTGCCAAATACATAGACAACACCTTAAAAATGACTCCAAATTCTATTTAGACACTCCAACTAAGACTAGTATTTATGGGACACTTCAATCCTAATAGAAGTGTGCCTATTGAACCCACCAGCTGATGTGGCAAAAGAAGAGATTTTTACCCAAAATTTGAACGCGTGACTACTTAAATATAGTATTTTCTTTTCTTTTTCTCTTTCCTCTTTCTCCTTCATCTCCTTTTTCTCTCTAACACCCATATCATTTGTGGCCGGCGACATCGTCGATAGAAAGCACTGCAACAACTTCGAAGATGACCTGATAGTTCGAAGGTGGTGCTGAAGGACCGGTGGTCTTGAGTTGACTGTTTGGTAATTATCGATAATGGTCCCTAGAGATGGTGGTAAAGATGCAGTCTATTTGGTGGTGTATGATGGCCGAAAGAGGAGATTGTTCAAGGTAAAAGTACAGGTAAAATACGTCTTGGCAGTGAAATGATCTTAATAGGTTACAGGGGTTGCGCTAATTGTTTAATTACTGGAGAAGATGGAGGCAATATTCGATGCAACAATGGAGGTTATGGTATGAAATAGAAAAGAAACGGTGGCCGGTGGCGAAGGGGTGTCAGCAATGGAGTTAAGGTGGAGTTTTTAATTAGAAAATGTGATTCTTTTCTGACAAAAATGTTGTATTTTTTGGTTAATTAGAAAATGGAGTTAATATTGGATTCGTTCAGGCTTTTGAATTTTTTCGTTTAAAGATAAGCTATTGATTGTCTGGTCGGAAGGCGGAATACACTCCTAAGGCATTTTTTAGATTCAAAACCCATGTGGCATGTTTTGATTCGTTGATTTTTCCACCTCACATGCGTGCAGTTCACTTGCCTAGTTTTATTTCCACTTATGAGAGGTGTTCAATAGGTACACTTCTATTGGTGTTAGAGTGTTTAATATGTATAGGTCTTAATTGGAGTGTCAATGGAATTTGGGGCCAACTTTAAGGAGAGGTCTATATATTTGGAGTAGTTTCTAGGATTTTGACATGTGCCAAACGAAGATTGATGCGTGTCAATTACTTCCTATGTTGAAAGTAGAGTTGGGCCTAAAAAGGGTATAATAATACTAGTTCATAGTTGTACAAGAGGCTCATAGGACCCTTGAAAAGTATGATTGTTCAACTGGTAAAATAGGATGACTTTAAGGGAGTAATTTGTAGTATCCCTGAAATGTAACGTAACATCATGTTGGGCATTGTAAATCAAAAAAGAGCAGAATGATATTTACACTATTTCACCCTATTCATTTAGGTGTTTTCTTGTAGAACTTTACTAGAGCCAAATTATTGACGAGAAAATATGTATGACTTCAAAGGGGGAAAAAACCTATAAGGTAATTTTGTAAAGTGGTTTTTGTGAAGTGGTTTGAACATTATCATCTCTCAACTGAAGCTCTTTTATACTTAGATCCAAGCTCTTATCTTAGGTAAATCCGATACCCTACAGAAATTTAAAATAAATCTGTAGTAAAGAGTTAATGGATTGGATAACTGTTGGGATTTAAGCTTGGTGAGGGTGAATGAGAAATGGAGGGAAAATAAAATATTTGAGTTTTCCTCCTTGGCAAAGGGACATTGTCCCACATTGGAGGAAGAAAAAACTTTTGATGGATATATATACAATTGCTCTTCTTCTTGCTCTTAAAGAGTTAAGAAGAAGGCAAGCCTCGCGCCGCCGCTGTCGTCGTCGCTCGGCTTCGGCTTCGGATTTGGTCAAAGATTGATTGATTAATAATTTTGGACAAAATTCCTTTCAATTATTTAATTAATTTGATTAATTAACGAAAATTCAATTCGGAATAACCCATCACCCGCGACCCGGTCCGGTCCGTTTTTTTTTTCCAGATTACTTTAAATTCATTTTTTAATTTTTCCGTAATATTCCCACCTGTTCCAACAGCTATGGCTGTTCTGAAAGGTTGCAAACCTTTTCAGAAATAGTGCCAAATGGGCTATACATATGGAATCCCAGAATTTTTACTTACTAAATTTTCTGATTATCTTCTTCTTCTTCACAATATTTTCCAGTGTGTTTTACGACCATTGAGTGGTTCGCCGTTCACCAGAGTTTTTGGTATCAATACGCTGGTGAGTTAAATCGTTCTATCCAGGGAGGATATATTCCAGCACCTCGGGTACTTGAGGGGAATAATTTCCTTAAGGACACACTGTGTATTCAGTGGGCTTGATTTATTCATATATTATTTTCCATAAATTATTTTGTCGTTCTGGTTCTACTACTTTTTGTTTCTGTTTTCCAGAAAGTTTACTGTTTTATTTTTTATTACAGCAATACTGTTTTAATAACAATCATAAGAAAATTATTTTATTATATTCTGTATTCTGTTTGTGGAGATTAAAACTTGTGTGGTTTTCTACTCCTTCTGAACTTACTATTCTGATTTGAAGATATAAAAACTTCATCAGAGTATTGAAATTTAGAAAACGATTTGAAGAACGTAAAAACTTCATCGTTTTCCGTGAAACAGTATATAAAAACTCCGGTTTTTATTTGTTATACGTACTGTTTATTGTTAATTACAGTATTGTTTACTAATCTGGTTTTGCCGTTAATTGAACTCGTCTATCGTTGACAGTGAGAAATGTCAATTGATAACGGAAATCCTTCTACGACTGTTGCTGCAACAACGATAGCCTCATCAAGCCGCACTATTGTTCCACCGGCCGAGAAACCGGGGAAATTTTCTGGATCCAACTTCAAAGGATGGCAACAAAGGGTATTCTTCTGGCTTACCACACTTGGTATGCAGAAATTCACCAGTGAAGAGCCTCTAGTGCCTGCTGCGGACATGCCGGACAACGAGAAATTCATGATTGTTGAGGTATGGAAACAAGTAGATTTTCTTTGCAAAGGCTATATCTTATGCGCTTTAGAGGATGACTTGTTGTGATGACCCAAAAGGTCATCACTCGTTTTGAAAGTAAATTCTGTATTTCGAGGCCTTAA